CGGAATTTGGGGACCCTCCCAGCCCTGCCCCTCCCCCTCCTCGGGACCCCCCAACCTCCCCACCCCCCGCACGAGCCTGGGACCCCCAGTCCGCTGTCCCCAGCTCTTTATTGTCCCCCCACACTTGGGGGGTCCCAGCTTTGGGGTCCCCTCCCACCCCGCTGCCCTCCGCTTTTGGGGGTCCTGGTTTTGGGGGTGCTCTGAGTGTCCCAGTTCTGGGGTCACCCCTTCTTTGGGGTGACACAGATGTCCCGATTTCGGGGTGTTGCCGCTCCTGGATCCTTTGGGGTGTCCCCCATTTCCGAGGCACCCCCAAACTCCCCGAATTTCGGGGTGTCCATCCTGGGCTGGCAGCCGGGTTCTCACGAGGGCCCCCCAACTTTTTGGGGGTCCCATATTTGGGGGCTGCTCCGTTCTTGGGGTATCCCCGTTTTGGGGGGGGGGGAACTCTCGGATCCTCTCATTTCCCAGGGGTGCCCCCGTTTTGGGGGGACCCTTCCCATGTCCGTCGGTTTTGGGGTGCCGGTTTTGGGGTGCCGGTTTCGGGTGCCGGTTTTGGGGTGCCGGTTTTGGGGGCCAGTTTTGGGGTGCCGGTTTTGGGGTGCCAGTTTTGCGTGCCGGTTCTGGGGTGCCAGTTTTGGGGTGCCAGTTTTGGGTGCCGGTTTTGGGGTGCCGGTTTCGGGTGCCGGTTTTGGGGTGCCGGTTTTGGGGTGCCGTTTTTGGGGTGCCGGTTTTGGGTGCCAGTTTTGGGGTGCCGGTTTTGGGGTCCCGGTTTCAGAGTCCCGTTTTTGGGGTCCAGTTTTTGGGGTGCCGGTTTTGGGGTGCCGGTTTTGGGGTCCCGGTTTCAGGTCCCAGTTTTGGGGTCCCGGTTTCGAGATGCCGGTTTTCGGGTATCAGTTTTGGGGTGCCGATTTGTGATGCCGGTTTCAGGATCCCGTTTTTGGGGTGCCGTTTTTGGGGGTGCCAGTTTGTGATGCTGGTTTAGGGTCCCAGTTCTGGGGTGCCGTTTTTGGGGTGCCGGTTTTGGGGTCCCGTTTTTGGGGTGCCGGTTTCAGGGTCCCGGTTTCAGAGTCCCGTTTTTGGGGTCCAGTTTTTGGGGTCCCGGTTTTGGGGTGCCGATTTTGGGGGTGCCAGTTTGTCATGCCGGTTTTGGGGTCCTGGTTCTGGGGTCCCGGTTTTGGGGTGCCGTTTTTGGGGTGCCGATTTTTGGGGTTCTGCTTTGTGATGCCGGTTTTGGGGTGCTGGTTTCGAGGTGCTGGATTTTGGGGTTCCGGTTTTGGGGTCCGAGTTTCGGGGTGCCGTTTTTGGGGTGCCGGTTCTGGGGTGCCGATTTCAGGGTCCCAGTTTTGGGGTGCCGGTTCTGGGGTCCCGGTTTCAGGGTTCCGGTTTTGGGGTGTCAGTTTTGGGGTTCCTGTTTTTGGGTGCCGTTTTTGGGGTGCCGTTTTTGGGGTCCCAGTTTCGGGGTGCCGTTTTTGGGGTGCCGTTTTCGGGGTGCCGTTTTTGGGTCCCGTTTTTGGGATGCCGTTTTTGGGGTGCCGTTTGGGGTCCCAGTTTCGGGGTGCCGTTTTTGGGTGCCGCTTTTGGGGTGCTGTTTTTGGGGTGCCGTTTTTGGGGTGCCGTTTTTGGGGTCCCAGTTTCGGGGTGCCGTTTTTGGGGTGCCGTTTTCGGGGTGCCGTTTTTGGGTCCCGTTTTTGGGATGCCGTTTTTGGGGTGCCGTTTGGGGTCCCAGTTTCGGGGTGCCGTTTTTGGGGTGCCGTTTTTGGGGTCCCGTTTTTTGGGGTCCCGTTTTTGGGGTTCCCGTTTTTTGGGGTCGTTTTTAGGGTCCCGTTTTTGGGGTCCCGTTTTTTGGGGTCCCGTTTTTGGGGTCCCGTTTTTGGGGTCCCGTTTTTTGGGGTCGTTTTTAGGGTCACATTTTTTGGGTTCACATTTTTTGGGGTCCCTTTTTTTGGGGTCGTTTTTTTGGGGTCCCGTTTTTGGGGTCCCGTTTTTGGGGTCCCGTTTTTGGGGTCCCGTTTTTGGGGTGCCGTTTGGGGTCAGTCGTGGTACATGCGCAGCAGGCAGGCGGTGATGGCGGCCATGTAGCGCTCCCACAGCGCCTGGTGCCTGCGGGACGGGAAAAGCGTTTTTGGGGGTCCCCCCTCGCTTCTGGGGACCCCCCCGGTGCTTCAAACACCCCCAGCCCCGTTCTGGGGTGCTTTTAGGGTCCCCCTAAAGGCTGCTGGGGGAAGATTTGGGGGGTTCCCGGTTTTGGGGGCTCACCTGAAACCCGGCAGGCTCCGGGGGGGGTTTGGGGGGGGATTCTGGGGA